CCCTCCGCACCACCGCGACGACCGCCGACACCACCACCACACGTGGCTCCGGATAGGGTCCCTACGCGGCCCACACTAGTGACATCCGCCAAACCGCGCGTGCTAAGCAACGTCCCGTGCTCCATAAATATTAAAATGATTACCAAGTATTTCTCGTCTTATCAATCGTGTCCCTTCCTGCACCTCCAACCACGAGAGCGTAGATAGAGTGAACCGCATGATGATACGCCCTTAGCAGAGATCTGAGTTATCTCGACATACGCTGGGCATTCCCAAGGGATCTGATGCTTCCTCTAAACTCTCTAATTATTTAGACACCGAAGATACAAGAAGGCCGCGATAAATCTTCAAATAATAATATTATGCCCGATAGACATTGTGCCGAATTAAGAAGGCACTGGTGACAGCAACCTGCCCGCGGCAAAAACAGCCGAACTCAGATCAGCTGAAGCCAAGGCTTCGCCCCGCGCGCCCCGCTCCGAGCTCGCGCTCCACCGAACCAGTCGCGTCTCTCGCATCGACAACAAACGCGAATTCGGACGTGACAGGGACATTAATGAAAAAAATAAAAACAAAAGGAATCGTCCACTAAAATCAGTGCAAAATAAATTTAGAGGAGTTTCATCTGAACGTCAATTAAGACGATGGGAAGAACAATTACATTCAGGTGGAAATCGTATAGAAAACTTACATCTCCAAATTTACACATAATAAATTTACTGCAGCTGTTGAATCAGGATTCATAGTTCATGATATCGATCTACAAAGGTGGGCTTTACAAGCTCAAGAAGAAATAGGAAATTTAAATCCTATATTTAAAGCATCTCATAGTTGGATATCAAGATTCAAAAAATGCCACCGAATTGTTTCGAGAAAAATAACGAAACTACCGTCTTTATATTTCTATTACAATCTGTAAATTAGATCTTGATTTTATTTGTGATTTGCGATACAAAATGTTCCGTAATTCACCCGACAACGTTCGTGAGCAGGTAGAGCAGATTCGCAATAGTTAACAAGATTAGACTTTTAGTACATTAAAATCTTAAAATTTTAATAATGTATTTTCTCATAATCAAATGAGAAAAGCTTTAAAAATTTTCAGCAATATCCTTCAACATCATCAGAAATTAAAGAATTTTAACGAATTTATTCAGACTTTTTATCGATACGTAAATGTATGCATAATATATAGCAATATCTGTTTAATCGTAACGTAAATGTATGCATATTATATAGCGATATCTGTTTAATAATGTTGTAAAGAAATCATTTGATATGTCTGTCCGTATGTCCGTAAATATTTTTCGTAATAATTTCGTAATTATGTTGTAAGAAAATGTTATTAATATATTATGAGCCTTGTTCATATCGATCGATGTATCACTCAAGTTTCCTCTTTTTTTTATCGATATGTAAATGTTTGCATAGTATAGCGATACTCAATACAGTAATGATTATTCATGTACTATGTCTGTCCGTAAATATGTCTAAAAATTCTTCATAATTATGGTGTAAAAAATCATTTGTTATGTCTGTCCGTAATCTGTCTAAAAATTCTTCATAATTATGTTGTAATTAATATAATATATAATGAGACTTGTTCATTTATCAATCAATAAAATAAACCATGTTTTTATTGAAACAATGTTTTGTTCTTTTTACACATATACACACACACATATAATTATAAATTAACACAAGTTTCATTTGCGGAGACACGCAATGTGTATTTTTAGGAAAAACGATTGTGCTGAATAAAAATTTAACTAGATATAAGTTTGAAAACGATTTCGGTAGATATATATTACCACTGGGTAATTTTTTTTGCCAGTTCATTCCGTTCATTCCGTACAAAATCGAGTAAGTCTAAAAAAATATATCTGCTAAACTAATAAATCATAAAATTAGTACAGTATTATCGGTTTTTAATTCTTAATCACTTCAATATTCACAATCGACGCGAACTCCCATAAGGATGTCGGTCTTTAATAGTATCTCGTCGGTGCTACCATCGATGACAGATTTCCTAACCTAACCTAACCATGCAACCGCCACTCAGATTTGCTGAGGACGATTACAATCGCCTCAATTTTACGAAACTTAAACAAGAATAATTCAAATTCACAGAGCCAAGTCGAAGGGATGCGAACACCGGGAAGGCCTGGAGGCCACAATAAAGACGAGGTCCAGCAACAGAATCCGACAACGGGAGAAGACGCCGGGAAGAGCCCTCCCACAAAAATAGAATCACCCCGCGTGTAAAATAAAGACAAAGACAATTTTGATATTATTATTATTATTAAGACATAGATCATAAGGTAGTTGTAAGAATTATATAATAATAAAACATTTCATTAAAACTATATCCAATAACAAATTTATTTTATATTAATAATCAACTTTTCAGGGGCGAAATAAGCCAACAAAGATAATACGCGACAGAGAGCAAAAATACGAGCTCAGCGTAAAATAGAGATTAGCTCGATCTCCGAAACGATAATTTATTTTAGAGTCAGTTCAATTTATTTCGATAGCTTGAAAGCATCGCTTAAGATTAAAAGTAGTCTTAGCTCAATCAAAGCAAGTTTGAGCCGTTAAGAGCTTATTTCATAAAAATATTATTTTTTATACGTTATATAGCGTCCACACGAAACTTCTATATAAAACACAAAAAAGTGAAAAAATTCATTTATTCATCGAAAAAACATAATAAAAAGTCATTTGGACTAATTTAAATTTTAACAATTTTAATTTCATATTTCCTAAGAAAAAGGACATAAAAAACAAGTGTGGCGCTTAACGCGACTCATTACGAGCTATAAAAGCTCTTACGAGATAATAAAATGTAGAAAAATCTTCGATAAAAATCGGAGATGGTGTTAAAAAACACCAATTGTCAAATCTCGACAATTAAATTCCTTACCGGAATTTATTCGCGTCTTCGCGACGCGAAATCTAAAACGATCTCGGAAAAATCCGAGTAGCGAGACGTTGGAGTCTCTACGAGAGTTCTGTGAGTGAAAAAGGCGGTAGAATGCGAAAAATAGCTTCACGCGGATGTTAGAAAGAGATAGTAGATACCGCGTGAAAAGATGCGAAAGTTAGGCGAGAAAGTCCTATTTTATTTATTAATTTTATTTTTTATACTTACCTTAATAATCCATAGATATAAGAAAACCGTCATAAAGTTCATTCATGTGAGCCAGAGTCATTGACGAATCCTCAGGGAAATTGCCACAGTACCTGAAAGAAAAGAAAATTAATATTTAAGTTATTTTAGAAAAAAGATGTTTACTCGATAATATCAAATGTGAGAAAATTGAATATATTCATAAAAGACATATAAATGTCATGTAAAGTAGTTAAAACGAACGTATTGACGATTCGCGAGATAATTCTCATATTTGGTAAAAATTCTAATAAAAGATTTTATTTTGTATTTAATACAAGTTTATTTTGTAATATTAATTTTAAGTTCACTTAAAAAGAGTAAATATCTCATCCGGACACTTATTTGGAATCTCCAATTGAAAGACATATATATATATATATCATATGGCGAACAGCTGATCGAGGAAAACTCGAAGTAGTAATTAAAAGAGAATTTTCAGAGACAAAAGAAATGGAGATTCTAAATAAGTGAGGCACTGAGTTCCTTCCTGCCGAAGCGCGAAGCGATCCGACCTACTTGAGAATAAATTTTGTGATTGGTCGGAAGTCGATGGGAGGGGATGAAGATGCCAAGGTGGCCGACCCGCTCGAGACGGACGGCGACGCCATCAGTCGCTCTTGGGCGCCCGAACCGGATGGACATGCTTGCGCGTAGTGTCGTCGCGCTATTTCATCATTCTGATGTAATTATACTCAGAGGACTCCGCGGACGCGCGAAACACGTTTAACGAATAGTTACACTCATATATTAATCCCTGATTTAATCGATTTAATTGATTTATTTCATTTTATTGAAAATTAGCGACCGAAAAGTTGCGTCGCGTTCTAACGCGTTCCGAGTGCGCGAAACTTATGTAAACCTTTATATATCGATAAAATACATTATATTACATAATTACAAATCGTGTGAGTGAGTTAATTAATTGCGGAAATCCCAGCCAAGGTCTCCACAGGGCGAGAGAGAGGATCCGAGACGCTCAGACGCAAAGGACATCGCCGCTGGTAGAGGGACGGCTTTCCTTCTTTGTTGGAGGGTGAAACGAAGTGGCAACCGAATTCTTTTACGAATATTTCACAA